TCCCTCTCTTCACCCACTTGTCTGTTGTCCATCCCCCAAGGAAGGAAGTTTTCAATGCCCATTAACTCAGACTTGCTCGGCTTTGAACACATCAGGATTTGTCCGATCTTCTCATTCGAGTGGGGAGGTGATTGGTAGCAATAAAAAATTTTCCAAAACAAAAAAATCCCCCCCCTCCTCAGAGTTTTGTAAATAAACCACTGTGATGTGATTAGATACGGAGATGGCGTTCAATATAACTGCTTTGCATCGCCCGATTTACATTACTGCTATTCCGGCTCCAGCATCCACTCGATGGCAGAGCCAGTGTTTGGTGTGCGATGCTGGTGGCTTTAGGGAATGTCTCCATTTACCCTGAGGTGCTCAGAAGGAAGCCGGTCCCCCAAACAATGTGGACCCACCCATGTGGGGGGGAGGGGTTGGGTTGGATTGCTTTGCTTTACACAGATCTGGTTCTGATGACTATATAGTTTTCAATTTACTTATGTTAATGCTTACTCACACAAAACACCAACTCAAAAAACCCTCATTGCCACTGAGTGGAGGTCGACTCCTAGTGACCCGTTAGGAGGGAAGAAACTGCCCTTTTGACCATTCAAGACTATAACTCTTTACAGGAGTAGAAAACCCTGTGTTTTTCCCAAGGAGCTGGCTGGTGGTCTCGAACCGTGGACCTCGCAGCTAGCATCCCAGTTCATAACCACTACCCCACCATAGCTCCTCACACCAAAGCAAGTACGTGACGAGTACCCAGAGTGGTCTCCGGGTGTACAAAGTGAAAGCCAGGCCCCAAATTGTAATCGACCTGCAAACAGCAAATTCCAAGGACATTCCTCACGAGCCCTACATGCCCGTCTCGTGACCCTTCTTGCCACCCAAGTGTCGTGTCCCCAGCGCTCTGAGAGGGCACATGCTGCCTGTGCCCGCAGAGTCGTGGTGGGAGCCCCCCTGGAGGTGGTGGCCGCCAACCAGACAGGACGGCTATATGAATGCTTGTACCACACCAACACGTGCCAGCCCATCTCCTTGTTCAGTGAGTGACTTGTGCCCGGACCCAAATGCCTGCCCCTCACCTGGCAACCCAGCTCTCCCCCCAGGGGCGGGTGTGCCATGGGTGTGAACGTGAGTCTGTCCTCTCAGTATCCTCAGAGGCTGTGAACATGTCCCTGGGCCTGTCCCTGGCCGCCGCCTCCCACCCCTCCAGGCTGCTGGTGAGCTCTCTTAGGATACAGAGGGTGGTGCTGGGAGGGATGGGGGTGTCTAGAGAAGGTTGGGGCTGGGCTGGGAGTGGGAGAGGAGAGGGGCAGGACCCTGTTGGGGAGTGGGGGAACATTGCCCACCCAGTGCTCTCCCCGCAGGCCTGTGGTCCGACACTGCACAGAGCCTGTGGGGAGAATTTGTACGTCAAAGGTTCCTGCCTCGTGTTGGATTCCCACCTGAAGATCATCCAGACAGTCCCGGCTGCCCTGCCAGGTAGGCCATCCAATCCAAAAGGAAAGAAAGTCATGGCCATCAGGTTGGTTCCGACGCATCGCGACCCCGTGGGCCCCTGAAACGGTCCATCTTCGC